TAAGCTGTAACTAGAAGGCATACCAGAGTCGCGCACCATGTCACACTGCGCACACGAGACATCTGTGTCTCTGCAACTTCGGCTGCCATGCCCTGGAGCTACAGCTACAAGCACCGGAGTAAGATTAGGAGCCCGAGACCCTGTGTAGACGTAGACTCTGGACTCTGGAGTCTAGACTGATCATGACATGTCGTGACAGCACCACAATGTCCCCGAGCTGCTTGGCCTGGCCCGGCAGGCATTGACGGACGCTCTCTTGTTCTTTGCTGCTGCCCTTTTGTAGAATCGGAAGGCCGTTTTTTCCTGTTTGCTTCGGCAGATGCTCGATTTCCGGCTTCTGTCTGGGCGCCCAGCCAGACCATCAGTGGCCCAGTCTCCAACGGGAAAGCTTGGACTTCAACCCGATCCGGGACCATCTCAGCCTCGGTCAGCGGCGAAGGCCTTGACAACACCTCAAACAAGTCCAAGGCCCACCGAAAATTGAAGTCGATGTTGCCTTGTAAAGCCTCCAAGAACATCTCGAAGGTGATCTCATCTTTGACAGTCAGTGTCAGTGTGTCGTCAGACTGGCTCTGCAACGGGTCTCGCTGCAAGAGGATGCCGCTGGACTCCCAGGTGCGGTAATTCATATATCCCACATGGAACCACACTTCCTCCTGAGCGAGGACTCGGGGCAACGGAACTTTCACATCCGCTGTCGGCTGCTTGGAGCCGCCTGACTGAAGCAATTGGGCAGCAAAGTCTTCCCAGCTGTCGGATGTTTCCGTCACTTCGGCCTCCAGCCGCCGAAGTCGAAGCACCAACAAACCTTTCTCGCAAAGAAGACGTGCTGCTGGCTTGAGCGGCGCCTTGTCTTGGAATTGTTTCGTGATCGGGTCACGGCGTCTTTTTTTGGAAGCCAGCAGCGGCATCATGAGCTTCGAAATCTTGGTATAAAGCCAGTAAGCTTCTCTGCCCCGCGCTGAGCACACACACATACCCAGTTTGTAACAGAGTGTGGGCTGCCACAAGTCTTTCAAGAATGTCGGGTTGATTCGCTCCAAGACCTTGTCACAGTACATCTTGTGTTTCTCCGTCCAGTCCTCATCCAAGGCAGACTTCAGCCGTGATTCCAGACCTTGACCACGTCTGCCTTGTTCCCCACATGCAACCTGAGTGCGACGAGAAGACCCACCGTAACCGTAACCGTGACCGTAGCCACATATAGGATGCTAAAATCCCGAACCAAACCAAAGTGTTCCTGAAATTCCTGACAATTGCCTGCAAATGTCTAGAGTCTAGAAGCCAAAGTGTTTTAGCTGCCAAGAAAGATTCAAGATCTTCGGGTTCCTAACATCGCAAAAGTCCTGAATGGGCAGGAATTAGTGTTCAGGCAGTTTAAGTTTAGATGAAGTTTAAGCCTTTGGGTCTTAGGATAAGTTCAAACCGCATAGACGTCGAACAGAAGCGGTGTAAACGCTGACACTGAAGTTCAAGCCGTCTGATGCAGTAAGCCTTATGCCTTATGCCTACAGTATACTGCCTCGAAACCAGGCATGCTCAGCCTAGTTGCCGATGCGAAAGGGATCGTGGGCGGCACCCAATGGACAGTGGCCAGACCGCTCTTGCACCACTTGAACTGTTCCTCGTCAGTCTTCTGCAAGGCCAAAGAGTCCCGTAACAAAGCTCCTGTGCTGGCCGGCTGAAAATCGAAGCGAGACATCTCACAAACGCTGTCTTGCAGTTGCCTTTGTTTCTGCGTCCGGTTGGCACTTTCCACGCGCAGTTGAGACTGCAACGCAACCAGAGCATCCTTCAAGCCACTTGCATCCTGTGCCGGAAGCACTGCAACAGCCTGGCTTCTGACCCGCTGTGCCTGGGGGAAGGGTCTGAAGCCACTGATGCCCGCGATCTTGGCTGCACGACCCAACTCTCGAAAGTAGGAGGCATCTGCATCACTCAAGGATTTGTATTCCAATGAAAGTCGTCTGCCAATCTCCTTGTTGCATCGGACACCCATCGACCTGACATGCTGGAAAGCATTCCACGCACCTCCAGGCTGCCGTCGCTTTGGCTTCCGAGGCCGATCTTTTGCCACGGGCACTGTCTTCTTAGTCTTCTTTCGAGCTCGCGCTTTTCGTCCCACTCGGCTCTGCTGCTGCATCTGCGAAGAAGCGAACGCAAGGTTCTGCAGGGATTGTTGCTGCAGCACGAATTTCGCAGAGACAAAAGGAAGATCTGGCCCAGTGGTCTGGTTCGAGAACAGATTGACAAACCGACGGATAGATGCGTGACGAGCCTCGATGGCACAGATGTCGAGGTCCCACATAGTGGCTATTCCGTGAAGGCAGGCTTGGGCCTCCGGCTTCAGAAGCTCGCTTCTGGTGTACTTCTTCCGGAATTTGTACGAAAGCTCGTCCAACCTTGTGAAAAGAAGATTGAATCCGGATTCCTCCAAACCAGCTAAGCCCTAAGCCTTCTTAAGCCGCCTTAAGCCTTAAGCCTTCTAAGGCTTAAGCCTCAAGCCTTGCCACAGAAAAAGAAGGCCAAGCTGCATGCACTCCGGTGCGTCATGCAACGTAGAGCTGCCCAGGAGCGCAGCGAAGAGTTGGGTGGGGTACCGGAAACGTTCCAACAACTGGTAGTGGGAAGATCCGCATCTCGATGCCATCGCGAATTGAAGTGTCCTCATGTTGCTGGTGTAGAAGGACTTCGGCAGGATCGGGATGGATGACATCACAGTTTTGATCTGATCGAAGAACCGCAAGGAACTTTTCCCCGCCAGCTCCTCCAGTATCTTGTAGCAGCGAACGTTGCTCGACCCGGTCATCTGAAAATGGTCGAAGGAATCGCTGCTCACCCAGAAGGCATGGTACACTGCCTCCATACATGCCTTCAAGCATGGCCGAAACAACGCTAGCACGCCGCCGGGGCGCATCCGAGCAAAATGCCCAGCCTTCTTCTTCATGGCATAATTAAACTCACTCCAATCCATAGCTGCTGTAGGGTCTGGGCCCTGCTCCTCGTCATCCACCGGCTCTTGCACGGGCTGCGCCTGCTGAGCTGGCTGAGCATCCACATTGACCAACTCAAGGCAAAAATCGTCCCAGGAGGCTGAATCCGAGGCAGCTCGGGCAGCTTGGGCATCTGCTTGTTGAGGCTCTGCCGGCATGTCCGCCCAGCGGGGCACAACCTTCAAGGCAAAGGCCCTTTGAGGCTTAAAAGACTTTAATTAAGCTCTAAGGCTCTATACTTTTGTAAACCCGTGCAAACAAAAACGATGTGAGACCGAAGGCCAGGGAAGTTTAGGGTTGAGGGTTGAAACGTAAGCCTTATAGATTATTAGGCCTCTAAGCCTCTAAGACTCTAAGCCGGGGCTTAATAATTCCGGAACCTCGCTCAGAAGGTCAAAACACAGCGCGAGCAAGAGTACCCAGTCAACAGCTCGGTCAGCACCGGTCCAGCGGCTCCTTGGGAACACGGGACATCTGTGCGGCAGCAGGGCGGGAACCAATTGCTCGCTTATCTCTGTGCGCAACTCCTCCCGAGACAATTCCACAGGTCTGCATACAATGATGCTCCGACGCCGTAAGTCGTTGTTTCTGAACCAGGTGGACAGAATCAATCTTTGCTTTCTTCGTAGCCGATCTGTGGCCACTCCATCCTCCCTGCGGTCCTCTGGTGTTTCGCCCAGGCACATGTCGAAGACGGCATTTCGATACACAGCAGACTCGGGATCTTCATCAGGCGGCTCGCCCACCTCCACAGTGCAGCGAGACATCAGGACGTCTGTCATGATGTCTCTCAGCCGTGCTGTGGATCCCGCCATCTGCATCCCGACCGACAGTGCAATAATGCCTGTGACGAAAGAATCCACAAGTGAAGCGCACTGAGTTTGCACCTGCGCCAGCTTGTGCATCTTGCAGAAGATATGGCACTTTGTGCAGCCAGGATGCTCTGCCTGCATGCCGGCCTCCGCCTTGACATTGGGGACCGGCTCTGTCCGTCGTGACCAGCTGCAGAGTGAATGAAGACTGCTTCGAAAGGCGAACCAGCTCAGGCACACTCTGCTCCAAGTCCAGCTGGCAACGCATCAGAGTCTCGGCCGTGCATGCATCCAGAGATACCAGAACCGACGGCAAAGCACACTTCAGGAACATATACTCGTCATCTCTGCGAAGCAAAATTCCGAAACTCAATTCGGATTGGAGCACCTTCGACGGCGCAGCTGTAGAAGTGTCCTTGGTCGAATTGGCCTGTCTCAGCTTGGTCGGAGTCTCGTCGTACCGTCGCTTCTTTATAAGCATGCAAACTTCCAGGCCTTGAGCCAAGATCTGTGAAACCAGATTTCCAAACATGAGCCCAGCGCCCAACAAGACCCCGGCAGCAGATCGAATAGTCATGTTCTTCAGATTTCGCCGCTCGTTGTCCCAAGATGCAGCCTGTGCTGTCAAAGAAGCTCCCGGGGTCAGCTGCAACAAATGGCGTTGCACGAACAACTTCGCATCGGGGTCTGCATCAACAGCATCAGCATCAGATCTTCTGTATTTCTCCAGAACATTCAACATCAGCTGCTTGTGTAACTCGGTCCCCAAACTTCGAAACTGCCATAGCTGGCTCCCCTCAGCCACGGAGCCTGAAGCTGCTGAGGCAACATCGACTTCACGTTCAAGTGATTGAAGTTTTTGCTTCTTGGCCAGTCTCGCTCCTGCAACAACAGCGGCCCGAGAAGGGACAGGTGCTGCGGCTTCTTTGTGAGCCTGGAGGGCTTTCAAATCACGTCGGTAGCCACGACTGCCACCAGTCCCGACTGGCCTGCCGACCCTGCGCGGAGCCGGAGCACTGCCTTCTGCCATCCAGCTAGCAGCTGCATGCTGCTAACAGCGTAAGGCTCTGGGCCCTCAGCAACGGCCACTTTCAGTCCGACCACCCAGGACCATGGGCGGCCTACAGGGCCTGGCAAGGCCTAGCAGGTTCAAGAGCTCTTTTAGAATCGGCGCTAGCTAGCTGCTAGCTAGCTGCTATCTGCTATCTGCCGTCAGCTGCTGTCTGCCGTCATCTGCTATCTGCTATCACTTTGCCCACTTTACCTACACCCCAGCAAGTCAACTCTCGCAAATTGAAGTAGGCTTTGAAGATTGTNNCGAGTCTAATGTCTAACGGCGCAGCCAGAGCAGCCATGTGAAATGGATGCACAAAAGGGGCTCAGGGTTTGGGGTTTAGGAGTCATATACGTTTTCACATGTAGGCTTCAGGGTTCAGTTCAGGGTTAAATCATCCCTGCACGATATTTCTAGGCAGCGCAACGCACCCATGTGCCTGTCGAATGGGATATCCCCGAAGAGTGGAACTTGCATGACCATGGACACACGGTTTAGGGTTTAGGGTTTGGGGTTTAGGGTTTAGGGTTTTGGTTTAGGGCCTAGTTTAGGGGTACGTCCATGTGTCAACACGCCCTAAACCCCTGACCCTACACAACTTCCGGGCCTGCCTTTAACCGCGCAAACCCCTGCAACCTATGATCCCACTACCAGGACAGGCACCTTAGTCTCTGAACAGCTCAACCCCAAAATCGGGTGTAGAGTTAAGTGCTTAGATTTCAGAGTTGCCGAATGTTTAGGGATGATGACCCAGAATTCCTGCTACCTGTAGACCTGTACTATCCGTTACTATCCATGGTAACCGGGTACCCTTGATACGGATGTAACTTCTTATCTTATCTCATGCACGCCTTCAAAAGAACTTGCAGAAACAGGGGTCCTCTTCCTCGAAATGGTAATCCAGTCAGCCATATCCAGCCTCTGCACCGAGTGATGGTAGCCAATTGCCAGGTCGGAGTGAGCCAGAGCTTCCAAGAACCTGGCAAAAGATCACAAATGTCGTTCTACGAGCTGTGCATTATTCTGTCAGCAGATGGGAGCTCAGTAGCAGGTACCAAGTAGCCGCAAGCTTCCGACTCAATCCACCTATCCTGCTGGCATGCGTTAGCAGCTTGCAGCTTGAATTCTGCTAGCTAGAAACAGCTCGAAGGTAGCCGACCGGGTAGGCACATGGAAAACAGCCCGCCTCGTCAAGGGTGTGGCGTCAAGAGTCTTCTCAGAAGAGTCCGGCATGTCAAAGCCGGGAACTTGCTCGAAACACACCGTCACGGGTGTGAAGTGCTCCAAGAATTCTATGGCATCTTGGAATGTAACGGAATACGATTTATGCTGCTGCACAGTGTCAGGTTTGAAACGCTTGGCACGCTGCCTGCTGAATGGAGGGCAGGGCGTCCCCAAGCAAGCAAATGCCGTATCACTTTCAGAAACACAGGATTCCGAATGATGATGTCGGTGGCATGCTCTTCCATCTATTTGATCTCGGATGGTGGAGTGGGCATGGTAGATTCCTGCATGGTTATGGAGACAGAACTCCCGAATCTCCTCGTTGGGCTCGGAAATGCTCGCCACAGTGTATGGGATGCCGAGCTCCTTTCAAGTGACGACACAGGGGACTACTTCATACAGTACACCGGGCTTACATGGAATGCAGGGGGGAGCTGCAAGACCTGGGACCTAAGAGGTGTTGGGGACAGTATCGAATAGAATGGCAAGCGCACATGCAACTTCTCTTCCTCAGATTTGATACTTTGCGGTGCACTTGCACGGAAGGTCTGCGAAAGTCCAAGCTTTGGCTACGGCTACGGCGGCTGTAGCGGCTACGGTTGATTAGATTTTCAGCTTGACAACGAAACCCGAAGCAGTAGCAGAATCCTTTGTAGTGTCGTAGTCGTAGTCAGAGTCTTACGAACCGAAATATCGGAGATGAAGATCACGGGACCCCAGCAACCCGACAACTGTAAGGATGCTCGTATCAGGTCCTATCAGGTGCTGTGTTAGTACATTGAGCATTCTGGATTCCATCGAGCCGCAGACATTGCTAGAGGACTATGTGACTATGCCTCACTATGCCAGTATGCGTAGCGCAGCAATGCATCAAATGCACTACAGAGTCAGCTCAGCACGTCCGAAGGAGTCGCGTCCGGCCTCAGCGCAAGATTACAGAATCACCATCAGCAGTCAGGCGAAAATCCAATGCTCTGCTCGTCTCGGCGCGACTGATGTTACACAACTAGGCTTCAGGCTCTTGACTCAACGTTGGCTCTGCACTCTACACTGCTCTACATCTCTATGTCAGCTCGACGCAGCTACTGAAGCAGCTATTCTGCAAGC